GCTACACTGAAGATTCCTCCCGGTGAAGGGTGGATCAATTTTCTCCCCTGTTTTATCCTTCCTTTGAACATATTCCTTGGTTTTTTGATATTCATATGGCACACACCACTGTTTCTCATTTGATTGGCTGATCTTTTGATTTTGACTCTGTATCCTTGTGCTAGTTACATTTAGCAAACTCCTCTAGGTTTTTTTTTTTGGTTGGTTGGGGTTTTTTTTTGGGTTTTTTTGTTTGTGGTTTTTTTTTTTTTTTTTTTTTTAAACCACTGTTGAAGATTTCATGGTTTACTTAAGTTGGGCTCTTATCTCACTTGTATTTTATTTCACTTTGAAGTATTTTGGAGTAGTGCCTTTATTACAGCTTAAGGAATTGCCTTTTTGCTTTTGCCTACTTCCCATGAGCTCCAAGTTCTCACCTCTCATTGCTTCACTTCTGTTGTGACTCTATTTGAAAATTAATGGAATTAATGATGATTTTACGAAGCGAAACTCGACCCACTTTCTCTGGATGGGTTGGGAAACCAGTAAGAGTGAATGACCAGTTGTGTGGCATTTCTTCTTAGCAAGGTGGCTTCTTTACTTCATATGACTTTCCTGTTTCTTAACAAATTCATGCCACGTGAATGATAGGCGTCTGCTAAGGCTCCTTCCACTCTCTCAGTTCCCTCTTGTAATTGAAATTTCAGTTGAAATGCAGTTTCCCTAAGCCAGTATTCAGCTGTAGTGGTGTTAGTATGAAACATGAACATTGGGAAACAGCCTGACTACGGATCTATAGAAATATAAATCAAAATATGGTTGGCTTGTTCTTATTAAAAGTGACAATCAGCTTATTTTTGTTTCTAAGTCAATAGCAGTACAAAAAATGAAACGCGTAACCTTAAGACAGTATCTTTGAAATCATGTACAAATATCACAGAGATTCCCCACCACGGTATTTTCTTTTTTTAGACAGAAAGATATGATTCTAAAGCGGGTATTTTCTGCCAGACATCAGCAGATTTCCACAGTGAACTCTGAAATCCTTAAAAAGGAGGGGAAAAAAAGAAAGAAAAAATATAATGGAACAGCTGATAAGCCTTTTAAGACAGCAACATAAAAAATGCTGCCTATCACAATACTATGGCACAAAATACATATTTTTAAACCAGTTATCAATGAATAATGCTCTCATCACTCAGACTGGAGGAATGTATGAAACTTGTACTTGAATATTCTCCAAAGGGATATGTCTAGACATTTGAAATATAGTTTGTTGGCCTCTCTCATCAGCTGAAGTCTAAGCATGATACATCTATCAATGAACATGGCAGCAAACATTAGCCTGTTTCATTGCTGTTTTTGCTATAATTCATTTAATGACGATCATATATATTTTAATAATCTCAGTGAACTAAATTTAACTTATTCATATTATGTGAAGGAACTACAACAAATACGAGAAAAAAATAGAGATGGCAGAGGAAAGTTTCCAGTCAGCAAATTTTGAAATTAATTTCTTGTGCCTTATTCATAATTAATACAAGTAATTTTAGAACAAAACATAAGACAAACTTATTATTAGTTGTTCACTTCGGCTAACTAGGGTTGTTTTTAAACATTTTACATTTTTTTGGTTAATTAAAAATAGATGGGCTAAGAAAGAAGATAACCGAACAACTCACATCATTAGCAGTTTACTGAAGAAAAAAGAACCTGAATGAGTAAAGTCTCCCTCAGCTGGAAACCTAGGCCTTTATTTAAATATTACATTTAGTCAATGATAATAAAAGTGGAAAAGTAATTGGACAAAATAACTCAATGAATGGCATAGCTGGAAAACAATGTTGTTTTTTTAAAAAACATCTTGCAGGTAAAGTACAGTTACAATGAGACATCCTGAAGCTGGTCTGTAGATTGGATATCAACATGTAAGAAATCCAGAACAGGAATCTCTCCATCTGAGAGTCAAGAATCTAGGGAGGAAATCATCATAAGCAGAAGAACAAACAGTATGTTATGAATAAGGAAAAAACTCTCAGCATAAATCATATCAAAGGAGAAATGAATAGAGACAAGACGACTTTGTCATCCAGACAGTTGGAAAAATTGGAGAAAGTTCTGAACAATGACAATCCCATGGGGGAAGGAGGGACAGGAGAGAAGGGAAGTGAGTTTAAGAGACACTAGCTTTCAGAAGCATCATTAGCTCTTACAAGTTAGTTACTGGCTCTTGAACAATAACTGCTGACGCAAAAGGTGGACTGGGAAGTAATTTGTGGCTTTAGTTTTCAAAAACAGCTGAGCCGCATCCACCTTTGCCATACTGCTGTGAAGTCTAGCACCTGAGAAAATCAGATAACTGAGTTCAATGTGAAAAACAAGCCTTCACTGCACCATGCAATATCACTCATTTCCTAAAAGAGCCTTCTTTAAACAGAAGGGAAGTAATGCTATCGGTGATAGTGTGTGTTGATTTTTAGTAAACCTATTTTCTCCCTTTTGTCCCTTATTCTGATGCTGAACTGTGCATTACCAATATTCTCAGTCTCACCTGCTATTTGCCTTATTTGTTTTTTTCTCACTTCTGGAGATCTTCTTCCTGTCCTACCAGGAATACATCCTGTTAATTTCCACAATGCTACTGTGCTGTCTGCATTCAAGCCTCTCATATCAGAATCTATTTAAATATAACACCTACATAAAAATAGTTTACAATAAATAGTTCTTCTATCAGACAGGTGTCACTGTGCCCCAGGAGAAGCCAGTTAAAGCATGAAGACAACATGAAAATGTAGCGACTCTAATTTGAATTAATATAATCCAAGTTATACTTCTATGCAACTGAAATAAAGTCTTTGCAGTTAGACCTGTTATACCTATGTAATCCAGACAGCCCCATGAATTTTATCTACATAAACTCTGATCTAAAGTACAGTTAAAAGGAGAATCTGTAGAAAGAAACCTGAAAATGTTTAGTGTAAGTCATGTACACTTATTCTGGATGCACATTTGGCTTATTCATTCTTGGCCCTGCCTGTCTCCTTCCCTCCTTCTCTGACTTCCAGCCACTGGAAGCAGTGAAATAACATCCAGAGAATGCTGTTACAATAATTACTCCTTGCCCCTTCTTTAAAGCAGCAGAGTAATGTGTGTACCCTGCTCCTACCACAGTCAAATCAAGGGAGTTAAATAACTTCCTGTCAACCAGTTTGCCATTTCAAAGGTGTGCAATACAGCGAAAAATCCACCATCCTAGAACAAATAACATAAGAGTGAAAAAAGGTGAAACTTTTGCAAGGGCTACTTTGTCCTGAACTCAAGTACTTTATTATGGGCTTGACCTAAATTGTGCAGCAAATGAAGAGAGGATTCTGGACATTCTCCAGCAGCTTCAGCTAAATTAAATATGAACATGAATAAGGCCCTGGGGCCCTGCATTCTCCAGGATGCCACAAGCATGGGACTCACAGAGAATCCAACCTTGCTGCAGAACTGTGTTACAGATTTTAATTAATTGAGTTTCCTCTGTTAAGCTTTTCCTATGAAAGCCTCCCACAGTAAAAACACTCCTTAAAAATGTTATGCTGCAGCAATGAAAATAAATCTAGCTGATGAATTTTCAAGAACTTTCTTTGAAAGAACATAATAACAAGAACTACAATCACTCATTTCAGATACTGGTTCATGAACTCAAAACCATCGCATCCAAGTACTGCATGTTCTCATCTTTCCTAACTGCCATATGCTGCTCAGCCATTTAATTTTATATGCACTCTCATGGCTCCAGGCTTCATGGGCAGATGGCTGTTTGCCACCTAATCAAATTCATACATCAAAGACATCCCAAGTAAGGTTCTTTGTAGAACTGTATCCTCCTTTAGTTTGTCTCATTTTCTTGGGCATTTGAACATCAGTACAAATTTGTACTATCAAAAGGCTCATAATTTTCTGATATAAGGCACTCATTCTTCAATTAAGCAAACAGTACAATCAGTTCTACCCCACTCTAAAAATACAGTTCAGTGCCTTAGAACTTCACAGCATAGCCACAGAGTCCTTAATATCCCTTTTGGTTCTATTTTGGGTCTCTCCTTCTTCCATAGCCACATCTGTTCTTTGAGCAGAACATATCTACATGCTCTGCCTCCATATACACAGTTAAAATAATGCATCTTTACTCTTGCAACCAAGACATGTTTTGCTGTACTGCACTGAGCTTGCTGCAGCGTCTAAATTTGGATGCCTTCTAATTCTCTTTGACTGCACATTGATAAAACTGAATTTTCATGGATTAGCTCATCTTGATGTAGGCTTGTGGCTGTTGCTTTTGATGAACTTAAAACCTCAGAGCTCCTTTTGATTCTCTGGAGTATCCTGTTCATCAGACAGAAAACTTCTCATATTAGTAACTGTGGTATTTTTTCAAGCCACTGTGACCTACATTGCCTCACTGGGTTGGTTAAATGTTTCACACCCTTTTATCACATTCTACTGACACAAGTTCTGTAACTCTCTGCCTGCTGTATTACTTATCACATCCATTAAATACATGCATAAACACACACCTTTTCTGTCTGAATGCACAGGAGGGTCATGGTTAGCCTGACAGTGATGGAGGGTTGCTTCTCAAACCTGTACAGTTCTTCAGCTGAAAAAATATTGCTTTCTTTTACATTGAGAGTCTCAGCTTATTCCTTCTAGGATATGTTTTACAGATACCAGGATAGATATGAAAAACAAGGTCATGTATGTTAAAAGTGACTAAACCCTCCATTTTACACCTTTTTCTCTAAAGAAGGAACAGTGTAGTAATTTTTAATGTTACCTTCAACATCTACAGAAAAAAAACCCCTCACCCTCTTAAGACCCGTAAGATAAACAAAGTTGCTGAGTAAAGGACATCTAAAAATGGCTTTGTAATTTATACTAAAAAGAAGCAATATCCAATATCAGTTATTTTAAGATAGCACATTTTGAAGAATATTATTTGAAATATTTTTATAGAAGAGCAATGATGAAATAGTGACAGAATATATAATCGTATTGACACTGCAGATGCGAAATAGAATAGAAACGCTTATAGTAGCACTTCATAAATGCCATTTTAAAATATCACATTTTACATCTAGCTTTTCTAAGCAATTTAATATTTTTTGCCTCAGAAGACTACAGCTAGACAGCCTGCACAGCTCACCTTCCCATGCTACAGTAAGTCATCTTTGCAGATTAAAGGGCTATCCCAGAGAACACAGTGTTTACACTTTGTAAACAAACAAAGTGTTTACAATTTGTTCCAGACATCATATATTTAGCTACACACAGTTCTTTGTATTTACAGTCCCTTCTATTGCTCTGTTGAGAGTAGTAACCTGAATATGCTGAGAACGTAGTGGGAGCCTGTTAAACATGGACTAAAATTACTCCTGTGTTTCATAGCTGCAATGGTTTTAACAAGTGCTGCACAGGCACAGTGTGAGTAATACCATTTATATTCAGTTAAGCTAATCGTCCTTATCTCACTTCCATAGCCCCTTCCTCCACAAGAACAGATAAAAGGCATCTTCTAGTGGCTTTTGAAACACTACTCTGTTAGCCATTTCAACAGATAAGAGGTCCTATGACCCATAACACATTTTGACAATTTTCAAGCTGTTTGGAAACTACGAAAGATAAAATCTAATAAGTGGATGTTTGCAGAAAGATCCAAGTTTTTGACATTATTAAAAAAAAAAAAATCTGCAACTTATCAGAGCCATATTATCTACACTCTAAAACTAGCAGTCAGCTTGCTAACCTAAGCTAAGTCCTCAAAGTACTAAAAATAACCTCAAACCAACACACCTCCTGCACACGGCCCCCTCAGAAGACAATCCTGTGGTTTTTCTAACAGCAACAATAAAGTGTTCTACAAGGTGATTTTTATTCTTCTCTCTTTTGATAACAAGACTAGAGTCTCACCTTGTCTGGCCCAGAGCCATACAACCACCAAAACTGCTTTCTCTTTCTGGAGTTGGTGCTTTATGATACCACACCAACAAAAGCACCACTCTGTTGCTGAAGTTTTGCAAAATAATTGCACCCTATTGGCCTGACCTAAATCAGGAGCCTAGTTAACACTCCCCCTTGCTCCTCAGTGCTGATGGGACTCTGATGGCAACCTGAAGCCGTGCTGCTTAGAGTAGGTGATGGTGGACATGAATAGGAGCAAAACCCTCCAGGTTCAAAGATCAGAAAGAGACTTCATTGACAAGTTCTGGCCTTTTTTTTCAGGATGAGGCAGCTGCATCAGGGGCTGCTGCCAGAAACAATTTTGTATTTAAGTTAGCAGAACAGGTACTCACACTATCTAACAATGGTTATCTAATGCTAGTGCTCTGAATTCCTCACCTAGAAATGCTTTGTTATCTTGCCAACAAAGAATAGAAATTTAAAATTATTCAGAAGATCAAGTGCAAAAATCTGACTCCTCCCAAGTCCCTCTAGATCACGATTTAGGCATTTGGTGTATTTTCTTTACCCTGACTCTAAGGCAAAAACAAAAACTATAAGCACTGCTAAACAATAGAAGTTCAGAGTTAAGAAAACTGTTACAGTAAGATGACTTAAGGGAAGGAATTCTAGATGCCAATTATGCACAGAAGCAAGCTTATTTTTATTTTTCTCTTCCAATGTCACCTACCTCAACTGTTTATGCTTGGTACAAAAGAGCATGGAGGAACAACACTGGGTCAGTTGTAATAGTCTGGACTGAGCTATTGCTTCATGCTGACAAGAGCAAATCCTACTGGGAAAGCAGTGAGGCAGAAGCAGCAGACTAGAAAAATATATCAACATGCTTCAGCTACTGCAGCTCTTGAAAAAGTACTTTGTTAGGTCAGAACAAGGGTCAGTTTTGGGTTTTATGCTTTCTGACAAGACACCAGTAGCAAATATGAAACAGTAAAGTGTGTAAGAACAATACATTCTGAGACTGTTAATATCTCTGTATATTTTAACTGTTAGAGGTAGCCAGCAACTGAGGATATTTCTGAGTGGAGACTTTATTTAAACTAACATTTGAAAATCTGTTTCACATATAAGCCTAATCCCTTTGACTGCATGACCCTGAAGTCTCCTAGCAGTGAGTTCCACTACTACATTACATAGTGTAATGAAATACAATTTTGAAACTTGCTGCCTAATCACTTCATTGAAATCTTAACTCTTACAAGCTATCAAATATTCCCAAACCAAAGTCATGGACAAGGTCAAACTGGTCCTCTGTCCCATTTTAGTTTTCTATCTTTTTTAAAAAACAGCATTGAATATGGTACTTGAAAAGAAGACAAACCCCAATTTTAAGTAGTGGTCTAATATTTTTGTTTGTTTTGCTTTCTTTTTTTTTTGACTGTCACTAAGTTACACCTGGCACTTTAGCACTCTGCTATTCAGTAGCAAGAGATCTTCCCAAAATTCAGCAAAGGAAGCTTCAGATTTAATATATAGTACTTTCAGTAAAAAGTCAGTCTTAAAAACATTCCTTTGATTACTGAGTCGAAGACCTTCCTATGTGTAGAACCCAATATTCCTCCTTATTCTGATGGCTTGAGTAGCTTGCAGAGAAAAAACTTTTATTACCTTATTCTTGTTTCTGAATTCTTGTGTTTATGGAGGAACACAAGCACAAGAATGACCTTCGGAACGAGACTATACACTAGCTTCAATGGGGGGTGTGTGTGTGTTTCTTTGCTTTGCATCTTATGTATTTGAATGTAAATTGGTATTAAAAATAGATAATTTTTAGGAATATTTGGAAGAAAATTAAGTCCTGATGGTTAAACAGTAAGAACTGTAAGAACAGTAAGAACAGTAAGACATCAAGTGTCTGTGGTTTTGGGAATGATCACTGGTACAGGAGAACATGACTAGAACCCTAGAGATGTAAGGATGGAGACCCTATTTAAAAGGTCTTGACAGCTTTATTTGCAAAACAGGTGCCCACACACTTTGCTCAGAGACCACAATGGTTCCAAGTATACATGAAAGCTAATTTTTAAGCATGTAGGAAACTTCGTGCCTTTTGAATTTTGCCAACAGGTTCAGATGGCTGTGAACGTAGAACTGTGACCCAGGTTAGATACAAGTACATTAGAAACGCTATGGATAACCATAATTATCATGTTAGGCACCCAAACTGCAGTCAGGAAAAACAGTGCTGATGTGACAGTAATTTCTCATCTACTGTATGAGGAGTTAAAGGACTAGTACAATGCTTAAAGCTGAAATTCGACCCTATGAAGAGGAACTAGTGCAAGATTCACATTTGACTAAAGTACTGCTAAAGCTTCCTGCTTCCAAACAAGCAGTAAACAGACCAATACATAAAGAATCAGTGGTGCTAACAGTCATCCTAAGAGGAATCCTCTTGGGAAAAAAGCTGTGGGAAAGTTGTTAGGAAAGATTTCACTTCCAGGGTTTGGGTCTAGATACAAACTGTAAGCAGTATTCTCATAGATACTCTTCTGGATTTAAGCGTATGAACACACCATTTCCTTAAGAAGCTGCCTTGAAAGGTGAAGTTTTCAGAACAGGTATAAAAAGACAGGAGGGTGAGAGGACAGAATAAAAATTCAACATGATTTTCAGTGTCTCCAACACCAAAACAAACCTATATTACAGATCACTTTGTAGCAATTTACAAAAGGTACACTACATATATTATATATACATATAGAATAGTATTATTTCAATCACTAAGTTCTTCCTCATCACTGAAATAAGCACTTTTCTTAATCCGTGGACGTTTCGAATCATCTGAAATTGAAGATTCCCCTGCAGTCTGCGTCCATCGCTGTTGTTCTTCCTCAATTTTGGCTTGCTACAATGAAAGAAGGAAAAGTATTAGCTAGGACTAAGAACAACTAAGATGCATTACACATAATAATGCTAATTATTCATACACATTGAATCATTAAATAATTTAGAGAATTGCAAGGGTTTATCTCCATTTCCAGTAAACTGTGTGATAAATGCACTAGGAAACATTTCTGAAAGTATTTCTCACACACAAGCAGTCTTCTACACCATTGCAGGCCACATGGACTATCTTGTATTTTCAAAAAGTGGAATTTTGCCCATGGCAAAAAATCTATAGAGTAGTTAAGATCTGAAGCAAAGAATGCCTCACGTTTTAAACTGATGTTATTGAATCAGCTTTGTTCCCCTAACAAGTCTTCTAACAGTTGTCTTTTGCAATCATTCATTCACATAATGAATGCCTTTGGGGATTATTTTTGAAGGTTATTCAGTTAAAGATTTAAATAGAAGCTTCCTATTTTTACCAGATAAAATTTTTGGATGGTGAGAGATATGGAAATGTTTCTTGGCTTCATAGGTTTTATTTTCAATTGTGGAGTTTTTGGGGAAAGGGGGAATAATTGTGCATATTTGAATTATTTTTTTGGACTATATAATGTAAAAATTCTGTACTCATTACAGTCAGATTCAGAACAAAGCTGTGCTAATAACTCCTGAGGGTTTTTTTGGGGACAGGCACACAGCGGACAGCTGTTGACCAGGGAGTAAAGAAATTTGAATAACAGGTCAGGCTTGCTCTGCGTAGTGAAGCAGAAGTGTGTAAACAAGTAATAAAGGCAGTAATACAGATGTCAGACAAACTCTCTATATAACAGAATATGGACTCAGTATGTTTCGAGAGATGAGTCTACTAGAGACTGCGATGGACTGTACTAGGCAAAGGAAGTGCCCCAGAAATACATGTTGTTCAAGGATAGTCCAGTGAGGGCAGAGGATGTGTCCAGTCATTCATACATAACTGTGTTTCCCCAGCTGCTCAGTTAACAAAGTAAAGAGGGATTTGTGAACAAAAATCTAGCAGGGCACTGCAGCAGAGATGACAAAAAACTAAGCAGCAAAGGAGCTTGAAGGAAATAAAAAGCTGCAACACATAATACAAAATAAATACACATAAACCAGCAATAATGAAAGTGCAAAAACCCCAAACAAAAGCCCACTGAACATGACTGCAATGTGAAGATGTAACTACAGTTACCAACTGCTGCTGCCAAACAAGAGCCCCGGAGTGCTATAGAGCAGACAGACCTATGCACATATCTCAGAGCTTTTGAAGAGCATCTCAAGAAGGAAGTAGATTTGCATTTAAATAATAATAATAAATATGCAATGCTTCAATTTTGTACCTGAAAAGCTATGGCTTGGCTGAGGCTATCCAGAGCAGGGTCTTCTCCTTCCTCTTCACTTTCTCCTTCCTCCTCACTTCATTGTGCAGAGAGAAAAAGAATAAAACTTCTTTAATTTAAGTGTTTAGTACGAAAAAACTTCCTAAAAGAAGTAGGAACATGCAAGTAAATATACATACATTTCTTCTGGCTCAACTATTTTCTTTTTCTTCTTCTTTTCTTTTTTCTTCGGTGGCTCTCGCTCTCCTAGCATATTCTTAGGACAAGCATAACTTAAGTGTCCTGCTTCCTTGGAGAAAAAGAAATATTGCTTAACACAAACCATTACAAACAATTATATGTTAAAACATATCATGAGGGAAGTTAATGTAAGACAGTTCATGGAGAAAAAAATGGAAGCAATTAGTAAGATAAATGGAATGCTGAATTAGCACACAGAAGACAAACTCCCCTCTATAAACTTGCCATGGAAATTAAGAGATTGGTGGTGATATGCACGTTTAACTGCATACTAAGAACAAGCCATGAACACAAAAGATTTCTTTGGCTGCTGAAATAGCTGAATATACTACATACAGTTTATATTTAAGATAGAAATCTCAGAATTAACAAGTTAAGACACAGAAGTGAGACAACATTTTTGCTGTTATGAATATAAATCAAGTTTGTATTGGACATTAAATACCATCTGAATCTCAATGTCCTACATCATTACATCCAGGAAAAGTCAGAAATTGCCTAAAACTTAAAACTCACTGCTAGATAAAACAGTTGTTTCCACTGCTTATTTTACTGCCAACTATGTTGTGAACTTCTAAAGATATAGCAAAAGCAGGTATTTTGAAGCAAAGACTAGGAGATTTTCATTCGCAAGCAGCATTATACTGACACTCAGATTTGTCTGCTCATCAGCATGTTAAGCATCTGTAACATGCACGTATTTTTCCCCTACCCCCAGAATCTTGAATAAAAGACAGAAGGGGTACTATCATTCCTGACAATGATACAACGTGCTATGCAAGTTGATAATATCAACCAAAAAAAATTTAACAGCACAGGCAGGATTAGCAATGGCCAAACTGAAGACACCAGCTAAGATTCTGTGCTCGTTTTGGCTGGGATAGTTGATGTTCTTCACAGTAGCTGGTACGGGGCTAGCTATAGTTTTGGATTTGTCCTGGAAACAGCGTTGATTACACGGGAATGTTTTAGCTATTGCTGAGCAGAGTTTACACAGAGTCAAGGCCCCTTCTGCCACTCATCCCCCTCACCACTGGGTGGGTTGGGGGTGCACAGAACCAGGACGACTGACCTAAAATGACCCAAGGTATATTTCTAGATCAGATGATGTCATGCTCAGCCATAACACTAATGGGAAGTTTGGCAGGGGGGCTCTTGCTCAGGGATTACCTAGGCATCGATTGGTTGGTGGTGATCAATTGCTTTCATTTGCATCACTTGCCTTTCTTGGGTTTTATTTCTCTTTGTTATTTTCATTTTCATTACCATTTGCTATTATTACTACTATTTTATATTATTTCAATTATTAAGCTATTCTTATCCCACAACTTTTCTCCATTTCTCTACATTTTTGGTTTTACTCACCCCACATTCGTAACACTTAGACTTATCAAAGTAGTTACGCCTGCGAATGAATTCTGCTGCTCTTCCATTATCAATGGCAATACTTGCTTTTATTACTCTTCCAAACAACTGAAGAAAATTGGAAAGAAAAGGTAAATGTTTTGGGACTGAAAACCCAACCCTCCTGCCATAATGACTTTCCACAATTTACCTGTTTGTTATTAAGTGCCCGAGAACAGTTTTGTGCAGATTCTTTATCCAAAAACAAAATAAAGGCAACTCCTTTGCTCTTCCTGGTGTCTTTGTCTTTCATAATAGTAACTCTGGAAACATATAACTGCATTATTGATACACTAAAATGACTTCAGAGACATTTTTTCCATAAATATCTCAGTGGGATCTTAGCTTTGTTATATAGCAAAAAGGTTAAAGTATATCTAACAATAAAAATGCTCAATAAAGAGAAATTCAAAGGAACAGCTAACCTGGCCATGTGCTTACAGGTAGAGTGGAGATGATTTTAAAAAAGAATGTGGGGTATTTCTGGGGACAGTGTCACTTAATTCGCTTGGATGACCTGAACAGAGAACATACTCTTTAGATCTGCAGGCAACCTAACTACGCATACTGGAGGTGACAAAAAAAATTCAGGAGTAATCTAATCACTGCTATTATTGCTGAAAAACACAGTGCATTGAACTGCATCCAAACTGAGAAATCTATGTTTGTGTAGAACTAATCAGCTAAACAGGTTCACAGTAGGAAATGCTAAGTATGTGCAGTATTGTTCTACAAATATCTCCAGCTGAAATCCAAGGATTATGGATACATGTGTTATTTCACATGACATATGAAGTTAAATCTTCAGTCTAACATTGATATCAACAGCTTCAATAGCACATTAAGAAATTCAAGAAGAATCTAGATGCAGTTAAAAAAAAAAAAAAGTTACAAGACAGGGCAGGGGGGTGGGAACCTACACAACTTCAACTCTTGCATCCTTATATCTAATTTTAGGTAAAATACTAAGCAGTCACAATAACAAGCCCCTCTAGAATCACAAGCAGAAAACTGTACATTGCAATTGTGGGAACTGTGATATCTAATTGACATAAGTAAAAGCTCTCACTTCTACACTTATCCATTGTGCCCCACACATGTTCAAGGGAAGGAGAAAAATACTTACTAGAAGAATACTACTTCAATTATTTCAGAGAAAAGACTGATGGTATGTAACGACATTCTACTTGCTCTTAGGAAATGGTTAGCAAAACCTGTCCCTAGCACAAATATTCTTGTACTACGTATGTAACTGCAAGAACTTCCAGTTGTTAAATTAAATTTATACTTTATTAAAATGAACAGAACTTCAATACAGTTCCACATTCATGCTTTAATTATAAAAAGCTCAAGACTTTCAAGTGAAGGAAAGACATTAAATATTTAAAATGAGAGATACAAAAATAGAAGGCCATATCAGGTCACTTACTTGACAACTTTCCCATACTTTGAAAATATCTGAAATATAAAACAAAATAAAAAGATTTAGCAACAGACAATTGCATTTCATTAGTAATAAATTTATCACAACAAACTGATATATATCAGTATTGATTTTACACTCAAAATTGTTGTCAGTAAATTAAATCTAAACAAAGCAGCTCTTAAAACTTACCCTGTACAGATCATTGTTCGTCAAAGCAAAGGGTAAATTGGACACATACACTGTGCTTTTGCTTGGTGCCAACCCACCACTCATTTTTCTGATAACAGGAGAAAGAGAGAAGAGTTAAACTGTATTCAACAGAGAAATCAATTAAAATAACAGTTGCAAGACTTTCAGTTGTATTTCAAACCTAGCCCAGACAGCCACGATGAAGTTGCAGAAAAGCATAGCTCTTATTTCCCTTTATCTCCCTTACATCATTTTACATGGAAATTAGTGTTTGCCTTCATGGGCTACAGAAGACATACATTCCTTCCTCCTCTCATTCAACATAAAATAAAACACAATCAGTTAAGTGAAAAAAAGCTTTCCTAAAGCAGAGCCCTAATTATTGGAGAGAGAGAGAGAGAGAGAGAGAGAGAGAGAGAGAGAGAGATACATTTTAAAGTCAGTGTAGTAAGATGCTAGAGCAGCATGCATTTCCTCTTGTAGCTATTGCTCAGGTTTCTACACTCCTCTAGAACTCCAAGTGTATTCCAGAGCTGACCATAAGACAGCATTCTCCCCTAGAAGCACTTCCCTTCCTCCTCCTAATTAAGCAGCTGTATCCCGGCAAGAAACAGGGCAATTTCAAAGCCATTTTCACTTCCAATCTTTTCTATGGTCTTGAAACTAAGTACATCTGGAAACAATGAATCAATTAAAAAATACTGTTATAACCACATACACATCTTCTAACACTAGGTGAAGAGTAACTGAACTAACCAGAGAAAGAACAGCCAATGTTTTTCTTCCCATTTGGACATTTCCCAAAATTTTAAGTGATGTAAAGTCTGTGTAAAACATTCTCTTTGATCCATTCTGTAGCCATGGCTCAGACCAAGAGCTAAGTGAGTAAAATTTAAGATCAAAACACAGCCCTTTTGAAAGAGCACACCAAACAGTACAGCAAATCCACTACCTACACAGTCCAATTGCTACCTCCTTGTCCAGTTTCCTAGAGCCTTATTACTGCTTCTCGGCACTTCTAGCCAATTTCTAATTGAGGATTAAGCCATTTCTTCAGCAAAACCAACTCATTTTTAAAATGCAGACAAAAGCTGATCAAGGGATAAAAAACCTGAAGTATTAAAAGCAACATCTGCCATACCACATAGTTTCTTATGTGACTTTTTGGGTAGCTAGTCTGAAGAGGTTGCTTGGCTAAGTGCCAACAAAGTAACTAATATCATATTATAATCTGCCTGATGTTTTCAGGCATTTCATGATTCAGCCATCTGAAGACGTGATATTCCCAACAGGCACAGATTATCCAAGTGTTTTGCTTCTTTTTCCTGATATGCTTATTGTATCACAATTCATTTGAGTGCCAGTTTCCAAGTGATTGAATTTTGAGGTTCTCCGTGTTCAGAGACAGTTTTTTTTGGCATGAGCAAAAACAGAAACATAAAGGTTAAGCAAATGAAAACAGAATAAATTTTCAATAAAGGCCATACATTGCATCTGGTGTTATGCAGACTGGATTCATTATCCCAAATTCCTTTCTGCTTGGCATTAGTATCCTTGACAAGCCTAACCAAACTGACTTGGCAACATTCCACACGAATAGATGGCCTGAAGTGGAGTTATCCAGATGTACAATGGATAGAAGGACTTGGTAAGATTGACCTTAATGCTGCACTATAGTACATCGCCAGTGCTAATATATTGCAACAGTGGAGGAGAAAACAGCAGAGGTGAGCCTCAAGTGCCTGATGACAGCAATTTCACTCTGCCTAAATGACAAAAGAAGCTGGAGCACCCTGTAACAGGAGATCAAGCAGCCCTCATTGTAATGGGCAGGCGCCCATTGCTGGAGAGCAGTCAGTATGCACATTCCACAGCACCACAGTGCAAACCTCCAAAGAGGAGGTGATACATCATGCAGAGATTACTACGGCCCTAATAGCTCAGTTGTTAGGAAATTATTAATGAAGGTAGCCTGCAGAACCACCATTTTCAGCTGCACGCTACTTTTTCCAGAAACAAGCTAGAAGAGTTGCACCTTGGAGTGCTGGCTGAGGTTGAACTTTGTTTCTAGTCCCCTGAACAAATTTAAATGTAACAGTTTTGCTGCTCCAACTGCCCAAATATTTTTAGCAATTTGTATTGTTTAGGACTGTTGTGCAAGGATTTCTTATTTTTAATGTCTGACTCACTGGACAGGCACAACTTTAATACAAGACAGAGGACTGTAACTGTAGGGCTATCATCATTTACTGTCTGATGATTTTTAGTGGGAGGAGTAAAAAAATACCAGTTCCAGCTTTAAGGCAGATCTCCAGGTGAGACATGTCATCTGGAGGCTCACCATTACAAGGCTGAGAGGCCTTCTATTTCAGGAAGTTTCTGACTTCAGAGAACTGTCCAATAAAAATTTAACACTTTCATCATATTCTTTCTCCTTGATCACTAGTCACTCTGCTCAGCTGGCAAAAAAAAAGTAAATATCCCCTTTCCTCAAGAAAAAAAAAAAAACCAAACAAAGCAACGAAAAAACAACATCTGAGCTTTCTACTTGTTGCAGGAGACTCACCTTAGAGTCATGTACAGCCTGACTTCTATATCGTGCTAGAGCTCTCTGACAAATCAAAACATTTCTGTTTTATCCTGGATGCTTTTATGGGGTTTCCCTGATCTTCAAGGTATTACCTGATCAGTTAACTTTAAAGCATCAGCTGAAAGCTGATTATCCCCATGGCACTGAGCAAAATTCCCACTAATGTAACAGCCTCTGTGTAATATTAATGTCACCTTCATAATTTTTACATATTAACTTTGAGGATAGAGTTGTCTCTCATTACAATGACTTCTTGAATTCAACCTTTTTTGTCTTTTCTACCAACTTGAACTAAAAGAAGCCATTCTTTGTCAAGAACCATCTGTCAGCAATGATTAAGTCTCCTGAAAAATAGATCAGGTACATGAATATGTTTTGTTTGAATCCAATATGCTTAATGCAGCATCTGTCACTAGCGCTGGGGACATCACAAGAAAAGACAATGATTAATTTTAGTAATTGGCTTTTCTATTCTGTCGCAGAACACATAAGGGCACCAGTAGAACTGTTCAGATGCCTCTGAAGCACCAAGTGGAGCCTAAATTTACTCATACTTCCATGACTTAACATCAGTGTTTCCACTTAAGCACAAATTTGTGTGTTTAAGTGCAGAGCAGCAAGGTCAGATTTATAATTTAATCAATTAAAGTAGCATAAATGATTTGTGAACAAGTTTCTCAAGGCTTGCTCACTCAGGCCAACTAATTGATCCTTAAAACACAGTATTTTATTCCTGATTTAATAGCATCAACAGAGTTTAGACCCAAATCAACAAACCATTACTTTCAGAGGAGCTTGGCTCAGGCTTATAATCAAATGTCTGTGGTAAAGGAGGAAACCAAACTCATGTTTTCCTTGGTTCCTGTCAAGGGTATTAACCACTTCCTACAGTTCTATCCTACAGAGGGGGTATGGAATAAGCTGTCAAAGCATAATCTGTTTTATCTCACAGTCATCTAAATAGTACAAAGCAAATATTAAACAGGATCAGAGTTTGGTAAACAACGTTAATGCTATCAGCAAAGAAAGAAAGTCTGCCCAAGCCAAAGAGGAACGTAAAAAGGATCCGTCTGAATTGAACCACTCTTATGCACTAATCTAGCTACAAAAACTTAGGGACATTAAGTAAGCGAGCATCAGACCACTAGCAGGGACTACCTTAAGTGCTTTCTTAACAGTCTTTTTAAAGCGATTTCCAGTATAGCCAAGATGGGAGAAGAGCTGTTTGGTTCAATCGCATCTGGTCTCGCCCAGAACCTCACCCAGGAGGGGCAGATCTGGGTAGCTTAGTTGGTGACGGCCCTTCCTCCTCAAACCCCAGCCGAGAGACTTGACTCCATTTCAGAGCTCGGTACGTGCAAACCCCCATTAAGGCAACAGAGCCACTGACTGCTCAGGAACCTCCACACGCTGTACTAAAGCTTTTGGCCGTAGCATTACCCCGCGGTTCCCTTACCACAGCACAGTCCCGACCAGCTGCTTGTTTCGTCCCTTCCTACGCCGCAAAAGCCCGAAGAGAGGGAGCTGTAAACAAGCGCTCCCACACGCCCCCGTCCCGGAGGGCTCAGCCCGCGAGGGAGCCCATCCTGCGACGCGGCACTGGAGGACGCGCAGGTCCCTACGCGATCGGTCCGGATTCTCGGCTCACCACCTTCTCGCTACTTCCCGCTCCCACCGCCCCGATCCCGTCGCGCTTGCGCTGACGCAACGCGCCCGGCGCGGCTGCGGCCAATGGGCGGCGGTCCCGGGAGGGTGGAGGTTCCGCTGACGCGCCGTCAGCGCCGGAAGCGGTGGCGGCGGAGGTGTGGCGCTGTCCGGGTGGTGCGGGGCCGTGCGGGAGCTGTGAAGCTGTCTCGGGGTTTCGGAGCCGTCCTGGACGTGCGGGGCCATCCCAGGGCCGCCGCGCCGCGGGAGCTGGACGCGGGTGAGCGGCGGGGGGCGGAGCGGGGCCGGCTGTCCGGCCGGGCGCCGCGGGGCGAGCAGGGTGCTGCGCGCTGCCGCAGCCGATGGCGCGGCCCCGCTGGTGCGCGCTCTGTCCTTGCGGGGCGCCCCGGGGGGCTGCCTACCCCTTTTCAAGGGTAGATTGTAAATTCTTTGTCTGGGGTATCTGGGACTTCAGGGGAACCAAGACTGTCAGAAATACACAAAAAGGCGTGGAAACTCACACAATCAGTGCAACCAGTGAGGACGGTTTGTTGCAGTGATTTGCCCTGGTTGAAATACGCAGGATTGGTTGGTACTTTCAGGAGTAATTGTTGAGAGCATTGCAGTTTTGACCTGTTGTGACAGCAGTATGGAGAGCTGACATATTTTGTTGTCCAAGTGTGCCGCAAGACAAAGCCGCGGAGGAGGCGGAGGTCCATGCGCTTGTTTGCATTGACGGTGCCGGCGCAGCAGCCCCTCGCAGCCCAGTAGAATATTCTTGTCGTGGCATTGGCACTGGTGAAGGACAGGTTGGTAACTGCAGGTGGTCAGGCAAAGAGTAGCGATAATACATTAGTCATTGTATTGATATAACCCCCAATGCATTGCCTCCATTTCTCTTGCTCTCAGGGATGTATTGGCATGATGTGGTAAGAAAACGGAATTAATGGGATTGTAAATTCTCATTGGAATGCTGCTGCTCTGAATAATTTTATTCAGCTTATGCATGTCTGGCTATTTTTTCTTTTGAAATGCAAGTTAATTCGACTTTGGAAGAAAGCTGCTTTCCTCAGGTTATTTGGTATCTAGATGAATATGCCTAGACTTGTTGCAATCATACTTCTTTTTGCTTTTGAAAATCTTACAGCCTAATATTTGTTATTAGGGAGAGATGGACTGTCTTTGAATCTCTGTTTTTTCTTAATGCCCCCCTCACATTATTTTATTTCCTGATGTGTTGGATTTTTCCCTCTACTCTTACCCTTCTGCTTTTTCATCTTATGAGTAGGACTGTGTCTATTCAGTGTTTTCTGCCTGTCCCAGATATGAGGGGAGGTTGAGAAAGTTGTTTGGTTTTTTTCCCTCCCAAACTCAGTTTTATCTATCTTATTGTTATGGGTTATAAGTTTGAGAGAGGAATTTTTCCCTTCCCCTGCTTTCCCTGTAAGAGAAAACAGAGGTTGAGGGGGGAAGAGAATTGATTAGCTTTACAAAGGAGCTGGCATTAGCCTTACAAAAGAACTGGTCGACCTGTTTTATGGGCGATTTAGCTACGTTGAGTGGGCCGGAGGGCCGGGGGGCCAGGTGGGCTGGTTTTTGGAGTCGGAGGCAAGGGGGAGGTGGGGTTGCTTTTGCTCCCGGGGTGCAGAGAGAGCAGGAAGGTTTTTCTGTCTCTGCTGGACACATCCAGAGCCCAGTGGAGGAGTCTCCGAGAAGCGATCTCACTGCCCAGCCCAGCTGGATTTCTCGTCCTGCTGGCTTCAACCTGCCTGGATACCCTGCTTCCCGGGAGCTGCTGTGCCTCAACGGGGAGCTTGTTTTGCCCGCGGGAGAGGAGGGGGAGTTTCTTTGCTGAGACGCCATCGTCTGAGACTGCAGTGAGACCCTGCTACCTGGGACAGCTGTGAGTGTACTGTCCGCCTTCCTTTTCGTTCCTACGGAGGCGAGGACCCCCCCATCCCCTCCTCGGCTTCCCCGCGCGGCCCGGGACCGCTCCCTCCAGCCCCTCTTCCCGCGGGGTGACTGCCGGAGCCCACAGCGCCCCCTGCCGACCACGACCAGGTACTGCAGGTCCTGTACCTTCCAGCGAGCCCACAGCGCCCCCTGCAGGCCACAATTGGGACTGTGCTAAGGGACAGGAGGGTATTCATTTAGAATTCTTGTTGTTATTGTTGTTTCTGGTTACTGGTTTTGCCAACATATATATATATCTTTTTAATAAAGGGTTGTTACTTCTTCTGGTTTTTTTTCCACATTTTCCTCGAGTAAAGCCCCTTAATTTGACGTTACAATTGCAGAGAGAGAGGAGTTTGGTCTATCTCATAACTCATCCTCTTTAGCAAACAGTCCAGTTTCATTTAAACTGCGACACTTATCAATTGTCTAGGTAAGAGATACTAGGATATCTTTGAAGTACTATCAAATATGGAGTCTAATTGTTGGAAGAAAAAGCAGAGTTTTCTCTCTGTCTTTATGTCCTCAGTGCAGGAATCATTGCAAAGTTAATAGTGATATTTCTAATAAGTTACATCTGTCCCAGATCTTACTTTCACAAAAGCATCTGAGCTTTTTTTGGAGAGCTTTCCAAAGCAGAGGAGAGACAGAACTGACCCACATTTGTCAATCTGCTGTTTGTCAAAGTAATATTATGAACCCAGATATATCCCTTAGCATGGGAGACACTGCAGCTGCCTGTCTCTGCATTTACGGCACAGCATTGGTTTTATGCTTTGTTCACATATGGCAAGATATAGCCATCTGGATTAGAGAGCTGTATGTTTTGGAAACAAAAATGTGGATTCTACAGAAGGATGATAGCACACACTAGAAAATTGCGAATCCTGGAGAAGTAGGTATTTCTAGCCTTGATGAAGACTGATGTCTCAAGTAAGTGTAAACAGACAAGAACTGTGTACAAAATATTTCAGAATACTGGAGTGCTTTTGCAAATGCATGAAGGATTTTTAGCACATTATTTAGAAAGCAAAAAGGAATAAAACCCCCAGTGATTTATAAAGAAGACCTAGTTGTGCAAAAAAATCTGAAGTGACCTATGTAATCTGCTTGATGAAGAAACCCTTGTTGTATTACATCAGCTATATGTATATACATACAGACAAAGTGCTGTGATAATCGGAGCAAAGCCGTTCTTGGATGGCCATAGTAGAGCAGCTTGTGTTGCATTAATAGAATGGCTTCTACATTCACAGAATGTATTTATTTGAGAAAATAAAGACCTTGCTTTAGGTAGAAGAGTCACCTCTGATCAAAATTAGGAAGAGATTGTTTAAATTAATATAGCTAGTGGTTATATCTCATTGTGTTAAAGACATATCAACTACTTTTGCTGTACTTGCTAATAGAAAATAGTCATTCAGTATGAGTGGCAATGTTGATAGCTGTGAAACAGAAACAGATTTTTTTAATTTGTTTTACAACAACTTTGTACTCATTGAGAGAACAGATGAATTTGAATACAGCATAGTAAATTTGAGATTTGATCTCTTGAATCTTTGTTAATGGAATATTCTCATATTGACCTTAAGAGTTTTGATTCTTTATGGTTGTTATTAAAGCTGTTAGGTCACATGATTTAAGTGATGGTTTTTTTTCTTTTTCTATAGAAGCAGATGAACTGTACTCAAGATGCCGGGAAATGCATTTTCCTCCTTTTAAACATCTTTTTTTCTTCTAACTTTGTCTCATTGGTCTCAGCTAAAATTTGTCTGTTTAGTCTTCTTCTATGTAAAATTAGTCTTCTCCTACTTGTTCACCATACTAGCATTTTGAGCAATGTACTTGATAGTTGATTCTGTCTGATTAACTCCTTCATTTAATTCCTCTAAATGAGAATGAGATTTTCTTTTCCACCTCCATAGTTGCTTGTATTCTAGTATATAATTTTTTATGTCCATCTACTGACTTTTGTGATAGTGTATCTCTACCTTCTTTCCAGCTTGTGTTTTGCTTTGTCAAAATACTGATGATAATTCTTGCTAGTTTCAGTGAGGTCCAACAGTGATAAAAAAGGGAGTGTTTTTATCAGCCTGGCTGCTTGATAATATAATGGAGCTTGTACATGAGTGGTGGTGGTGGTGCCTGCTGCCAGTGATGTGTGTTGGGATGTTGGAGGTGGTTTGACTGACAGAGTAGGACGATGTGTAAGTTTGCACTCATCTTCAGTGGCACTTATCTGAAATGTGTTGCTTTTTGAATGGTGTGTTCAGTTAACAGTTCCATAACTTCTGCAGGCACCAGGGCAGGGACACTACTGTATTTATCAAAATGGAAAAAAAAAAAAAGCCTGCTTGAAAACCTTATTTGAATTCAGCTTCTGGTATTCGCTGTTGGTCTAAAAAACTGAGGCTTACTGTCAAGTACCTAAATCTCTGCACATGTGAGAGATGGGTGAGCTGTGGACAAGCAGGGGTGGGAGTGGGTGCTGTTGGGTGGCTCAGGTGCTCCTCAGCTGTGGGCGGGTCTGGCAGAAGGAATGATCCACCCTGGGGCAAGGGTTGGGCATGAGGGGCCAGCGATGAAGTGGATTGAGGAAGACCATGTGATGCTTCATGTCTTGCTTCATCCAATTCTCTCCCTCTTGGTACTTAAAAACACAGGGGTATTCAGGTAGGCACAAAGAAAAGAGGACTCTGGGGACAGTGTGAGAGCAAATGAAACACCCTCTCTGTAATGTGGGAAGGAGGGCATGAAATTGGCCAAAGAACTGTTCATGTACATGTAACCCCTGGTGGGAATTTTTAAGGCTTCAGCAAAAGTCCCTGGAGTAGAGAATAAAGAAAAGTTGAGACAGTTACTGTGAAAGTGCCAGGACAGTACTTCTGATGATACACCTGACCATCCAATACAGCAATATGAAAAGTGGTTTCAGAATTAGTAACTCTTCTGTCCCTTAGAGGGCAGGACCAGCAGATCCTCTAGCTTTTGCCCTTATTAAACCAGGATCAGCTGGTTGGCTTAGTCAGCTTTTGATTTGTAATCTGTGGCTACATCAGGCTAGTCCTGTGTCTTGGTTATCAAACAAACTTAAGGTCAAGTCTCTTATAAAATGGAACAATATTTTAAGAAGATACTCTTGTTCATTTGAACCAATGTTAGGGTAAAAATCTCTGAACATAAATGCATCTTACAGTTGAGGAAAGAGCTGCTTTGTCAGGATTTAGAGTGTATTTTTAAAGGAAAAACCTTTGTTAAATCGTAACCTCTCATCACGTGCAACTGAGTTTTATTTTTCTTTACTTAATGATGTTGAAGGACAGTTAAATAAATATACATTAAGTGAATATGTTAAATATTTTTTGAGTGCTTTTAAGAAAGCAGTTACAGTAGTTTCCAAAAGCTTTTGCTAATGAATGGAAGAAAAACTGGGATTTGAGATAGTAAGTAAAAGATGACAAAAGGGAAAGAAAATTCTGGAATTTATTAGGAAGGTGTTTTTATCTGTAATAATTTGTCACAGGAAATTTTTTGATTCTGTTTATTTAGCTGAGTAATTCATATTCTTTCTTAGTTGAGTGTAGTAAGTAACTGCTAATTCAGATAGATCACATGGGACAGATGGGTAAAACATTTAGATTTTAGCTGTCTGGTTTACTTAAAAGAAAAAAATGTACTTATGATGAATATATATGCATTTTTTGCTAATTTCAGTTTCTTTTTTTGTAGGAAAGTGAATGGATCTTCAGGAGCAGAGTTGCTAAAACTGACAGAAAAGTGAGTATGTGAGTGTTCCTTGTTTTTTGCAATGGTACATATCTTAGTACCACTTCTGTTTACAGTTATTAATCCCTTTGTCATGTTGATTCTTAACATCTGTATTAATCAATATTTCTATATAGCCTCATAAGTCTATTTCCAATAAAATGTTTTTACTTTGTGCAAGTAGGTAATGTTATGTATTTCTTCTTCTGAATATGACCTGCTGTTACTTTTCCTTAATGACTGTTTTAATAGCAGAGCTACCATTGTGAGGGGAAGCTCTGAAAAATATAGTTCTAGCAGTTGTTTGAACTCCTCAAGTCTGTATTGCCCAACATAGCATGACTAGAATCTCTTAGGGTGATGGTTTATTGCTACCTGCCTTTAATTACTAATTTTGACTTTGAAAGTCATGCTTCTTTGGATAGAGGAATTTTTGTGTTCTACTGGCTTCCAATTTAAAACAGGAAGTATCTGCATATGAAGAATGTGTTTTATTCATGTAATCAAAGTGCAGAACTTTGTAATAAATGAAGGATGTGCTGTGTTTTAACTGCTTGATAGTTGAGTTAATGAAATAATTAAAAGTTATTATATTATAATAAAAATTAGAAATTATTTAATAAATAGTTTAAATATTTTTTAAAAGTCCAGTATTTTTAGCAGAGCAGTATCAAGATTGCTATATGTGTATGCATTTATATGTACAGCTAGTATTTGCAATATGCATATATTTCAGTAGAGCTGTTTATAGTATCTGTAAGTCTTGTAATTTTTCTGATTATGCTACACTAATTTCCAGTTGTTCAGTTGTTCTTGCACATCCCGTGAATTACTTTTGCTTAAAGTACATTAATTACTTTCTATAGTAATTTTTAGTATAACAAGAAGTACTTATTTTAAAGGGCTGACAACAGGAAGTGTATGTACAGAGCTTGTGCATAATACATTATATTGAGAGAAGTCCGTGAACCTTTATTTCTATGCTCACTATCCTTTTGTCTATTCATAACTAATTGGTTTTCACTGATTGTATTTTTATTGTCTTTAGTGGCATATCGAAGAGACGAAATGTGGTCTGAAGGGCGATATGACTATGAAAGAGTTCCAAGAGAACGTCTCCCTCCAAGGATTTACGGTGATGTAAGTGTATAGTAAGTTTCTATAGCATTATAGTGTTACACTTTATACAATGGCTTGTACCATAAGGGCTGGATTTATGTTCCTAATATACCCCAAGTTCTTTTCTTTTCTCATTCTTTGAAGCCAACAAGCTAGCAAATGCATTTGCATAGAAGTCATAGGATGCCTACAAAATTAAGTCTTGGGTACTTTTTTCTTATTTTCAAGTCTATTGGAACTGTTTCAGAATATTTATATTTTGATAGATTGAATTTTTTTGGTGTAATTCTTTGTGTAACTAAACATAGCGTTTTAATAACTTCTAAAGAACAAAAGACCATACTGTGTTGTATTTTTCCACAGTCTTTTCTTTCTATGTTAATAGTATGGGAATGATCCTGTGCAGGGCTAAGAGTTGGACTTGATGATCCTTGTGGATCCCTTCCAACTTGGCATATTATGTGATCTGTGATCTGTGATTCTTTTAAGTAATTTGAGGTCATAAAGTAACTACTTTCAAAATTGTTCTTGTCACCAATACAGTTTTTTATTATGATGCTTAAAGTATTGGAGGAAATGTTTATAACAAATGTTGAAAATACATCTTTACTAAAGAAACTGTGCTTTGAAGCCTTGTAAGGGAAATGCTTTTCAAGAACTGTCAATGGAAATCTACTTTGTAGGCATGGAGTCTTCCGTGATATGTTACTTATGCATATTGTGCTTGTAAAAGCAAACACAGAAGCTGTGCTTGCTCTGCTGTAGAATAACTTCAGAATACTTTCAGAACATTTCTGTGCCAAAGAGTTGGGTAATTTTTTTTCTTTGTCTGAAGTCTCTAACAAAGATATAAAACAGGTTGTAGCTTTGTCTTTTGTGGCATTACACTATAAATAGAACTTTAAGAATACTGTTTGATATTTATATTTTGCATCCTGTGCAATGTGCTTTAGGCAAAATAAAATTTCAGATACCAGTGCCTGTTATCTGACCTTCCTTTTAATTATCTTAAATGGTGAAATAATAGCATAGATGAATTAGCATACCTTCTGGGTCCCATTTGTTACATTTTCAGCTCATCATTTTGGAAGCATACCAATGTCAGTAACTAGGTAACCAGTCACACAGGCTTCTCTATTGAGTAATGTATTAGACTTTGGCTACTCTGTGACATTTTTACCTCTCTTTACAGGGAGCAACAAAATTTCTGTGTTTTCAGCAACCTGGAAATCAGATTCATTTGGACAGGGTATTTAACTACCTCCTTCTCCAAAATGCTTATCAACAGTAGGACAGAAGGAAAGGCAGAATGTATTTTCACAGTTTTTTTTTTAATGGTTTGACTTGATTAACATGTTGCTGATTTAATTTTACCATTGCATCAATGACATTTCTAAATCCTTGTAACCTTTCAGGCTGTTCAGAGAAATCATGACATATGCATTATGAAAATTTACTTTACAGTTTAAAAGACGTGATGCATTCAGTTTGATGCAAGAATTAACTAGATAGTTCAAAGCTAGCTTTATATTACATATGTTTGGAACTGGGGATGAAGGGACTAGCAGAATACACTCATCACAATTAATACTATCCACCTCTACCAAAACAACACCCCAGTAGCTGGGCAAACCAAAATGTGCTGTCTTTCTGCCATACTGAAAGATGAAGTTCCTTCTCACAGAGCTCTGCAGATTCAAGACCATTAGAAGGCAGTTTCTGTCCTTGTAAGCCTGTGCCATTGTATCTGTGTCCATGTGTAGAAGTCTGACTTAATTTTGACTAGGCAAGTGAAATGGCATTAATTTATTCAATCTACGAATGTGCTTAGTGCTTGCTGATAGGTTAGTACATTGGAACTGAGATGTGCCAATGAATGAAGTATCTTTTGTTTGAGAGAGCAAGAGCCCTGTCCTAATCTAAACTGGGTGCTAATTATATATCAAGTATAGATTGTAGTAGAAACACATGCTTTCAGATCCTGGTAAAGAACATAAAGTTGCATGCACTTGGCACAGTAACTAGTATCCGTAACTAGATACACCTTGAGCTTTCATGTGACTGTCCTTATGTGTGTCAATATAGTTATGTGATGGGGTCTTCTGGGTGAGGTTAAAGCAGAGAACCATTTTCTTTCAGCTGCAGAGCACATCTTTGTAAAACACCAAACTAAAATAATAATTACGTGTGCAGTATGTTCAATGAGGTAAGGGTAGATTGAGCATTGTGGCTGTGTATGACTGTGTGTGAAGTATCCACTTTGCATCAGTATGGCTGTAGCCTGGCTTGGGATTGCCCTCTAGTCCATTTGTTGGGTGACCTGTGAAATCAGAACTAACGTTGTTTTTCATTACAATATTTAGCAGTTTATGAGTGTAATTTTTGTGTATTTTTCTACAAAACCTATTGGTGCATTAGGTTGAGACTTCTGCTTACTATTAAAACAGTAGTTTGAATATCTTTTTCCCCCTCCAAATTGCACATGCTAACTCAACTCTCTGCATATGTAGCTTTTGGTTTAAGGCCCAAAGAAAAAATATTTTGCTAAAGGAAGAAGACTTAAAATACAAAATCTTTCATTCATGTTTTCATTTGCTTTTTATTTGCAGTTGACTTAGGTAAAACTTGGTTCCAGAAAATTGAATGTGTATCTTTTACAGCTGGACAATTTTTGCTTAATAAACAAAGGATTTCTTTAATTGGCAATGGCATATGACTTGTTATTTATTTGAAGGAAATACAGTAAATTAATTTTGTGTTCTTGCAAAAAGCTGTCTGAAACTTGCATTAAAATTAAAAATGAGCGTTAAAACTCTCTGTCACTTGAATCCTCAGATCACCTACTGTGTTGTATTGAGTGGGTGCTTATCTATTAACATTATGAAGCAAGGACTGTCTTAATTATAATTTCTGCTGTGTGGGGGATGTTGTGGACATTAACAATTAAGTAAATTGTTAATATTTTCAAATGTGCTCTTTATTTTACAGGCATTACAGGTGTAACTTGCTCTGTTGGTTTCCAAAGTTAATATAAAAGTCTTTGAGAAATACATGTAGCTAATGCTTAAAAAAACGTGTAGCTGATGGTTAGAAAGTAGCTAATACTGTTGAAAATTTTCTCTCTATAATTAAACTTGTAATGCCTAAGGATTGAATCTGAGTGCTGTCCAATTAGATTTAATAAGTTATTCCACCATCAGACTGGCATGATTTTTAATATTTGTTGTTTTTTTGTACAATTTCTTCTTTTAAGATTACTTAAGTCCCATATTTAGAAATAATTTATTTTTAGTTTTGTTTATTCACTACAGATTTTCGTCTTTTAAAAGCAATGTGATTTTGTTTGTTTTGTGGTTTAGGGTGATTACCATAGAATAGTAAATGTTGTGCCCAAGAAACCACCACTACTTGAGAGACCTGGGGATGGAAATTACAGTCGGTATGATGATTACAGTCATGCTGAGTACAGAGACTATGAAGAGGGTCGTAGTTTTGCCCATGACCGAAGAAGTGGCCCTCCACACCGAGGTGTACGTAAGGTGATTCTTCTCGCATGTTTATGATATTTATTTTTTCATTAATGCTTGAATACTAAACAATTAAAATACTATTTCAGACAGAGCGGTGGTGTTACTGCTGTTTTCACAAAGTGAAATAGAATTAATAGAAAAGAAATCCAGGTTTTGGATGTGGAAGCCCAGAATCTGAACTGGGAAAACAAAAATGACCAGAAGCCCTCTCTGTAATGCAGTGGAAAGTTACCTGGATGAATGGAAGAATGATTGCAGAATCTTTCTGTTTAACAAGTCCTTGCACATGCAAGTTGTTGAATGTTATCTACATATCCTTCTAGTTCTCACAGTTGTTCACTTAGTTAAACACTGTTGTGATGATGAATGCATTTTTTTTTTCCAATAGCTGCACGTAAGTACGAAATTTATGGTCCCTTGTAAAGGTTATTAGTGTTGCCTCCTGCGATTCCTGTGTTTGGAATTCTGTAACTTCAAGCTTTTGATGGTAATTTGTATTTCAAAGAGGAAATTTTTTTAAGTCAAAGCATCTGTATTTATTTTAGAAAATTTTGTAGTTTTTGTGTTTTGTACAGCATTGCAAAGTTGCTCTCTTCAGTATTGACAGAGAAAGAAAATGGAGTACAGTGAATAAATTAAGATGATAGTTGGTGTGAGAGATTAAAGCTTTTTTTTTTTTTTAGCTCATTAAATGCTTTGATTTTGCAGTAAGTAACTAGTTGGCAACTAACTGTACCTGACATCTGATGTTGAGATACATGTCACACAGTTGTTTTGCATGTCTGTTTTGCAGGATGAATCAGGATACAGATGGGCAAGGGATGATCATCCTACAAGTCGGCAACCTGAATACAGGTACTTTATAAGAGTATAGTAGTGCCATGCATAAGCTGGAAATATTTAGGGTGTTTTACTTTGTTATCCAAACAGTTGGTAGAGCAGAGCAGTGCAATGACAGGGAAAGAACATCTGCTGAAGTAAAAGACAATAGCGGACAGTGATTTTTAGTTGTATTGTTTGAAATAGAAATAAAATAAATGGTATGGCATGAAAGTCTCTACTTTAGTATGTGTTTAATAAGGATAGGAGGCATAATAATAACATGTTTAGGATGGTAACCTAGGCCTGTGAATAACTTAGTGCATCTCTCTGGTCAGTCACAGTTTTTAGATGACTTCAGAGAATTCTTTGGTCTGTTATTTGATTCTGTGATTGCAGTATCTTCAGACCACAAGACAGTGGAGTGATGTTTGATATGGGATTATTTCAGTTAGCAAATAAAGTGCACAGGATAGCATTACACAAAACTTATGGAAAAGGATGAAACCCACCTTAAATATCAGACAAGAATTGATTGTTAGTATATCTGAAATATTAACAGTCTAATCTAAGAATGTTATCTCATGGCTGTGCTTTTATATGCACAACCTGCATTTCTACTTCTCAAGATGTCTATTATACCAGACCTGTATTTGTATATACTGCATCATGGTGTTAGTCATAAATATCATAGAATAACTCCTTTTTACTGCTGTGTATTAAAAACTGTGGTTGTACCATACAAAATTCAACTAAAGTAAACCAGGTTAGCTATAGACACCTGGTCAGTTAGAAAAATTGCTATTAAACCTGCAACAAGTTTAAAAAAACCACTTCAGGGAGGTCAGAAAAAGCTCAGATGGAGCAAGCCTGACAAGCTTGCTCAAGACCTTAGTCTTGAATATGAATATGAAGCTGTTAGTAGCAATATCAATACAGGGCTACACAGTTGCAGTAGATACATCTGTTCCTTTGGATGTGATTATTGTTTAGATGTAATATAACTGAGTTATTCTATAACCTCACCATGAAAGAAATCCATATACCATAAG